ATTAATCATTAACTAGTATTTCGGTCTGATACGATATTGCTTACGTTGGTAAACTGAAAAAAAAAAAAAAAAAAAAAAAAAAAGAAGAAGAAGAAGGAGGACCGAAGACCAAAATTATGGGACCCACCAAATCCAACGAGCCACATAACATCATCATTAAATTAGCACGTATCGAAGCGTAATGTTTTTGTGGCGGTGAAGCTTTAATTAATTATTTTTCTTCCGTTTTGTCCTCTCCATGATTAAGCAAATCCCAGAGTTTCTTTTATAAAAGAGTATAAATTAAGATCCTGAGTAATTACTCGAATTTATAGACATTAGAGCTCGCTACCACATACTAATCTCTCATTCTTCTGAGCGTGTGCTACACGCTCTGGTTAAAAAGGAATTAGGGGCCTAATCAAAGCTCTACTTTAACGACTCCTAATCAAAACTCTGGGAAGACCAAACCAGCTGCCATGTTACATAACGCTTCTTTTTTCTTTTTCTTTTTCTTTTTTTTAATTTTATTTACAAGATTTCTTTGGATCAATTGTTAGGTACTTGAAAATTAATTTTTTTACTATAATTTTAAGAGTTTACTCTTTAAATTAGTATTATGTATTTAAAAAAAAAATTTGTGTTAGCCTTTAAGCTTAATCCTTAAAATTTAATTTTTAAAATGATATTTAATTACTAATAGATCTAATTTTTGTAGTTATTATACATAATATTGTTACAAATGACATTTGTGTTACTATTAAAATTTTAAAATATAACATTACAAGTTTATCATTATGGCTTAAGTTTTTATTCAAAAATCATTTATAATATTATATATTTACTAATTTATGTATAATATCATAAATAATAAATATAAAATCTTACTTAATATTATAATTTTATTGCCCTTTTAGTTTTTATTTTTTATATTTACTATTAAAGTGTTTTAAACGTAGTTTTTTTTTTTAATGAAATTATAATATGTATATAGTCAAATTTTTATTACCCGTAGGGCATTTTTTTTCTCTAGGAAATCCAGAAAAGCGTGGGGGTTACGCAATACGAAGTCGAGTGGGGGAATTAACAGGTGCACATAATGGCAAATGCATTGGGCTAATCACACAGTCTTGTGTTTACAAAGCAGAAATAGAGAGCATCTTTTGGAAAGCGGTGGTCGTCCCGTTTGTCGAACTACGTCTCATCAATCTCTAGACGATCTGATTCTCTAAACTTTTGTTTTTTAATTTTTGTGAATCTCTTGATCAAATATTCTCAGAGCCACAGTTCTGTTTTGAGGGTTCGGCCATCATAGACGTGGGGTCAAGTCACTCCTTCCCTTTCACTGTTTTTTAGTACAACTGCTATATATTTTAAATTTCCTTTTTTTTTTCCTAATTTTTTGACCACTCTTTCTTTTTTCGGTATCCCATCTTTGACTCAAGATCGGAAAACAAAACAACATATGTTGCTTTGATGATTGCAGAATTCCTCTTTTTTATTTTCTTCTCTTTTTAGTCTTTCCCCCTACCATATATGTTTACTAAGACTACAAGAGAAGTGGACACTACATATGATGACGAATTTAGCTTTGTTTTTGTTTTGGTTCACGTGATTCCAATAGGATCAGTACTGATTGTAACAAGCTTCAAAGACTACTTGTTTTTGCTTTGAGGAATATTAGTAGTATGACATTGACGGATTGGATTGCCTATACAACTAACGGATATGCTCATTTCTCCCGTTCAAAAAACATATCATTGCCAACACATGAAACTCTTCCAATATTCTCAATACTCTCCCCCACGCGCACCTCATCACGTGTAAAACAGCTGCTAGCTAATTACCATTTCATTAGGAGGAAGTTTATATTATTAATGATATGTTGATTCCAGTAGAAGTGGTTTGATTTTTTTTAAATAAGATTTTAAATTTAAATATTATAAATAAAAAAAGCACGTATTGAGAGTACTTTTTTCCTTTATAATGTCTAACTTTACTTTAAATTAATTAAAATTCAATATGATTTCTGAATATTGAAAATTAATACCTAAAAAAATGAAGAAGTTTATACTAAAATCACAATAACATAGAATAATTACCTTTGTTTTTTCTCTTTTTAAACAATTTATAATTTAAATACGAGATATTAAAGCTCTAATCTTGAAGTTGAGGATATACATTTACAATAAAATATATAATTATCATATTACAAAACTTAAGTGCAAATAATTAGCTTTATTTTTGCTTATATTAAATTACAAAAAAACTAATAATTTAACAAAATATGCGAGTTCGGCCGAAAAATAATCATGAAGTGGTTTTACTATATTAGTAGTGCCATTTCGCTATATTTGAGGGGAGTGAGGAGGACGCGATGAAGGAGAAAAGGAGGTAAAGTGTTCCATTTTCCTTGGGAGGGTGGCAGTGGACAGAGCAGAGGAGCAGAGATACGTATACGGACAGAGGTTTTGATGTACAGTATTGGGTTTGAGACCAATAGGGCCTCGTGATCGGAGAAGGCAGATCCATGGAAGACTGTTCCCGTTAGTCACGTGGGCTCTTTTGACTACCCAATGACCAAAACCATCTTGATACCTCCACTCCACTTACTTCTCCCTCCACCCACCCTACCCTACCCCACCCCACCCCACCCCCTTCCATTTATAAATTGAATCCCCTCTCGACTCAAAATGTTCAGTCCACCAAAACATTTCTGACTCAGAAAAACTGATATATTTAGCAGAGGGGTTGAGTGGTTTTCATTTTCTGCATCCGGGTCCCTCTCTGTTCTTTGTCTTTATTTCTCTCCTTACCCTATATACGTATATGACTATCTCTCCATTTGCATTTAACGACAAGGTAGACTGCTGCTGCTGACTGGTATTTCACCATTTTATTAGCTTATAAAGCTATCAGACAACACTCCCTCTCTCGTACCATTCCGCTTTCCCCCCATCTATAACCTCTTTTTTTCAAACCTTATATTATTAGTATAACCTTCTCTCTTTCACTCTAGGTCTACTCTTTTGCTTGTTACATCACTGTTGATCTCTGCAATATATTCTCAACATTTGCAATTGAAGTTGGGTTTTGGAAGTTGAAGCATTTGGTATTTTTGGATTTAAAGGTTTGGGGTATTGGGGAAAGGAAGGGCAATCATAGAGGGGAAATTAAAGTGGTGTGTTTTTTTTTTTTTTTAGAAAAATGATGCACAGGTGCAGTAGCTCTCACGGAAACATGGTGGGACCATGTTCATGTGGGCTGTTTCATAGCCAGAGCAACTCCTTCTCGATGTTATTTTCCATGCCTAACCACAAATCATTCGATGAAACAGACATGTATCCTTTCCCGACGTCGCCTCCTTCTTCTTCAGTCGATTGCACTCTCTCTCTTGGAACTCCATCCACTCGTCTCACCGAAGACGACGACCGCCCAGTCCGCCATGACCGCCGAGTCCCTAACTTCTGCTGGGACTTGTTACAGTCGCCTTACCAGCAGCACACACAGAAGCCCAGCCGTGGTAGCAATGGCAATAGTAATGCTCCGGCGGCGAACGATCCTCTCCTTGCCCGCCGTTGCGCTAACTGCGACACCACATCCACGCCTCTCTGGAGAAATGGACCCAGGGGACCAAAGGTACTTACAATTAAATAATTCCTGATGTTGCTTTTTTGGCTTCATATTTTTAGGACGTTTATGATTTATTTAATAAAATGTGTTTACCCTTTTTTCGAATGCAGTCGCTTTGCAATGCCTGTGGAATTCGGTTTAAGAAGGAAGAGCGAAGAGCGACGGCCGCAAACGCAAACAATGGCGGTGCAACTGCATCAGGAATTATAATGGACCAGCACCACGCCTACTACGGTTATCAAGCACAGACCCAGAGAATGCCGTACTTCTCTCCGGCGAATGAATTCCGCTTCATAGAAGACAACGACCAGGATTCGGATGCCGGCATTTCCTTCCATTCCTGGAGACTCAACGTCACAGACAGGCCCACAAGTCTCGTTCATGACTTTACAAGATGAACGTATCACAATGATGATGTTGAAGATGATGATGATGGTGATGGTTTAATTAAATATCATGATATATCAATGTGGTCTCCTCTAAATTAATTCTTTTTTCCCCTTTTTTGTTGTTTCCTTTTTCTCCATCTCCCATAGATGGAGTAAGAACCAGGATAACTATGTTCTTCAATTCGCTGCTTTTTTCTTTTTCTTTTTAATTTTATTTTATTTTAAGTTTTATAATTATAATATAAAACCTTTTGAGATGATGAGCGTGATGACAATGAGGATGATGAAATATATATATGTTTGTATTTGATGTAGTGCAATAATATATAATGTTTCTGATGATATAATGTTACATGAACTGGAGTTCAATTACTGATGTCTGGGGTTGCGTTTTCTATTTCCCTGAAATTCACAACTGAAAGAGATTAGAATATAAGGTGAGTTTGATTTCTGGTGATGAATGTGATCGTGCAATTATTTTTGTTTAAGAATGGGTGTTTGTTCTGAACTGTAAGGCACTGTGCGGTGCAGACAATGAAGCAATGAATTTGTCCTGTTGCATGTCTGCTATGCTCAATTTCTTGACCGTCAAATTGGCCTCTTATGCAGACTTCTGTCTGTAAATTAATTGTAAATTTAAACCCCTTTCTCTCTCTCTGCATTTTGAATTTGCTTTCCTTTGAGGGTTTATTTTATTTTATTTTTTTGTTCTTTCCTGGATGATAACCTATAAAACTCTGCCATGTATGTGGGATATTTTCCAATAGTGAATTTGAATTTAAAATCTATTCTAAACAGTTAATCAATTGTTCATTTGTCAATCCCAAACCATGGCCTCATTGGCCATTATTTTATATATATATAGATATAGATGCATGATATTTTAAGCAACAATCCATCTTTGTACTGAGGATAAGGGGCCTCTGAATCTAGATCAATAATGAATTATTGCCTGTTTCCTGCATAAAGTTTGCGTACAAAAAGGCTATGTACTATATAAAATGATGGCAGTATTTTATATATATGTGTATCACTAACGTGGATTTTTCGTTTAAGTTATCCATAAAAAATGATGATGATCAATATACAGTAATAGGGTTGAACAAGAGTTAATTTATCTATATTCTTTGCGTGTTAGTTAAGTTAAAAAGCCTTCAAATCAAACTTTATAAATGGTTTAGATGTTTCTTCTTCTTTTTTTATTTTTTTACAATACTTCTAGATGTTTCTTCTTTGAGAAAAGGTACGAGTTTTGTTATCTTTTATTATTTAAATATGTGAATTTGATCAATTAATAAGACAATAAATTATTTACTTTTTTATTTAAAAATATCTACTTTATATTTTTTATTTAAAATTAATTAAATAACTACCATCTAATTAAAAATTAACAAAATTTACACTGTTAAATAAAAAATAATAAAATTTATATTTTTATCTACACATTTTCTCTTTATTCTTTATATTTGTTCTGTGACTTCTTTTTATCTCAGTTCAATGACTGTTTGATTACTTCAATGGGAATGTAGATATTATTTCCACCTTAAAGTCTCTGACTTTTAGCACAAGTTAAGAATTGAGACCTTGGATTAAGTAAAATCTTTCTTCTCTGATTACACGAGATGGTAATGGGCCATGTCTTTTTCTTTTACCCATGAGAGGAAAGTCATTTCTAGATGGTGACATTTCATTAGAGGCTGGAGCCCATTCCAGTTCAGCCCAGATTGGCCCATCCTTCCAGATTTCCAGTACTTGAGAATCCACATGTATGAAATGCTAGATCGCCACGCTTCATTTCTCACATTATCAGCAATACACACAACCATAAACAGGTGCCTTATGTACCTTTTAACATTTCAGCACTAAGGGTTCGTTTGGTTTGAGAGAAATTTTTCTCAATAAAGTTTTTCCCAAATACTCCTTGTAGTTGTAGGTTATCAGCTTAATTACCATCTTAATCACACATTAATTTATCAACTAATTAAAGCTACCACATTAAACTAATAGCAGTAGGCAGCAACTTGTGTTGTCATTGATAGAAATATTGTATCACTTACTTTTCCTCTTTTTTAGGCTGTCCAGAGGCCTAATTTCTTATGCAATACAATTAGGAATTGGCATGCAATCTACAAAATTTGCTCTAAATATCATTCCTCCGTCACGTAAGCCCAGCCTTGACGTCATATATCTACAAAGGAAAAGAGCTAAAAAAACCCGGAAAAAACAAAACAAGGAGACGCAAAAAGGTCACCAAAATTTACCTGTCCCTGTGGAAATACGTAAATCTAAGACCTAGACAAAAACAACATGCGGAGGTCAACTACCTTACCTCCGGAACTCCTACATTGATTATCAGATAGACAGACTCAACAGAGAGTAGGCAGTGCAGGTGATCAATATCAAACAACTTTCTAAGGCCCCTCCTATCAAAAAGGGTCTTTGGAAATAAGTAATCAATTAAAGACTTTCTCTTTGGTTAGAAGAAATGAATCGAATTAATTAATCACGGTTTCGTGTAAGAAAACTGTCGAATTATCAGCTCTTTGTAGGTCAATTGATTCAACGTCTGGGCATAGTGAGCCTTTGCCCCTATCTGCTGGCTTTATATAAACAATTCAAAGATTTCAATTCAGGACAAGCTATACAATTTTGGGAGTTGGGGATTTGAGATCCGAATTCTATAAAGAGTGGTCGATTTTTAATGTGCATGATAACAACCCATAACCAAACTTTGGCCCCCCACCATTTACTTACTAGTTTATATATATAACCCCACTCGTCAGTTTCAGATTGCCCCAAGGGGAAAAGAGGTGTGCAGAGAGGAAATTAAAATGGTTAACCTCGTTGCAGCGCAGAGGCCTTTGTTGCATGGCTTAATGAAGATGGCCGGAGTCCGGCCATACTCGGTGGAGATCCAACCGGGCACCGTCATGAACTTCTGGGTTCCGAAGGAAACCATCGAAAAACCCAAGAAAGGTGAGAAGGTTGCCGCCTTGGGAAAACCGTCGAAACCGGTGGTTGTCCTGGTGCATGGGTTTGCTGGGGAGGGGATTGTGACGTGGCAGTTCCAAGTCGGTGCCTTGACAAAGAAATATTCCGTTTACATTCCCGACCTCCTCTTCTTCGGCGGGTCAATCACCGACAGCGCAGACCGGACACCGAGTTTTCAGGCGGAGTGTTTGGTTAAGGGGTTGGAGAAACTTGGAGTGGAGAAGTGCACGGTGGTTGGGTTCAGCTACGGTGGGATTGTGGCGTTTAAGATAGCAGAGATGTACCCTAATTTGTTGGAGGCGATGGTGGTGTCTGGGTCGATCATGAACATGACGGACTCGATCAGGGGAGAGGCACTGAACCGGTTAGGATTCTCATCTTCGTCGGAATTACTGTTGCCTACCTCTGTTAAGGGTCTCAAAGCTCTCCTCTCCGTGGCTGCCTACAAAAAACTATGGTTCCCTGATCGGCTACATAAGGACTTCCTTGAGGTAGGCATTTTGTACCATTACTCTTTAATTGACAACAACATTCATGTTGAAGCATTACTATTTTCTGTATTTCAGATCAAAAGATATGCAGTTTGAGACTTTGTTGTCCAGGGTTTAAATTTAAAGGGGTTTTTTTTTTTTTTTTTATAATATAAAATATTAATTAAAATTAATATAAAAAATAAAAAATTGATTAATATTAATTAAAATTAAAAATTTATCTCTCTAGAGAACGATTAAAAAAAAGCCTAATTTTTTAACATAAGTATAAATGAGGGTGCAAGCACCGTGGCAGAACTAGTAATTAATTAAGGGTAGGACTTTCCGTATTAAACTTGAATTTTAAGTATGCTTTAAAGTTTGAAATATTTTTTTATTATTTTAAATAAAATTAAAGGTAAAACTTTTAATATTATTTTTAAAAAATTTTAATTTAAGTATCTTTATTTTTTAAATTTGTAAAATCTATTGTATGACCTATATTTAACCATTATATAATGCAATTCCCCCACTGGAGGAAGCCCCAAAGCCCATCAGAATTTGATAGCTAATATAGTGTTGAGATGAGTGAGCTCTTAAGGAAGTTCTCGTAATATTGCAACTCATTTATTTTTCTCAAAGAGCTAATAAAAGATATAAGGACAGATGGATGAGCAGCATCACGTGGTTTTCATGGTGTCCGGATGGGGTCCCATTAGGTAGAACTCACAGTTGCGGCTGTAAACTGCAACGTGGGCATTTACTCTCCTCTAGGACTAAATTTAAATTCATTTTAAAGTAAAAAATTATTTTAGAATGAAGGATGGGAGTGAAGTGGGGTTTCCGGTTCAAATGATTTGTGTTTCAGGTTCAAATGAGTCGCTTTTAAACATTAAAGCGTTTGAATTAATTAATTAGAGTTTTGAACTTTATTAATGTCTTGAAAAATCTCTTTTCCTAATCTTTCCAATCATTAACTATTTTGAAAGAAAAAAAGAATGAACGGTGGGAGTATATGTATAGAGGAACAAAATGTTTATTATATATACAGCAAGCCCATACACTATTTATAAAAGAATCCATTATTATTTTAGAAAAACCCAATTCACAGTCCTCATAGAATAGACATAAATACGGTGTTAGCATGATATGGTGAGTCGATGTTCCAAGACACGAATTAAATTCATGATATTGGTTTGGATAAGACGCCAACTAGCCAGACCAAGTAGGCAATGACGCTTGGCTTAATTAATTCCTTAGTCTACACTTAATTGGTATTGACTTGGACGTATTGGGCCCAACATTAGCATCACATGTGCATATTTCTCCTTATGTCTATCCAAACCTTAATCTCATATATTTATTGAAACTAAGGTTTAGTTTAGGAATATTGTAATGTCTATCAAAACCTTAATCTCATTATTTATTGAAATTAAGGCTAGTTTAGGAGTACTGTAAATAGTTATAGTTAAAGGTGTTTTGATTTTTTAATATTGAAAAAATATATGAAATATATTTAATATTTATTTTAATTTATATTATATATATGTATAAACCCAAAAGTTGAAACACTGAAAAGCATCCTCAAACAAAACCTAAATTATATATTTCATTTTTAATAAAACCGGCATTTTGGCTAAAATACTCATTGGTATCATGGAGCAATGACAGGTGATGTTCACCAACAGGAAGGAGAGAGCTGAACTTCTTGAGGCTTTAGTCCTTAACAGGGATGAAGCTGGAAATAAGGATTCCAGCATCCCCTGTTTCCCACAGGTACACATATAAATTGGTCATACAACAGCATTCCCTAATCACCTTGTTGAAACTAAAATTGCTTGGTTTCACTTCTGGATCTATTGCAGAGAATACATCTCCTGTGGGGTGAGAATGACGAAGTCTTCAAGCAAGAACTCGCCCTCAATATGAAAGAGTATGTCTTCCTTTACATGTATATAAATGAAATTCCAAATTTTATAGACAGAAATCAATGAGCAATAGAAGAATATAAACTTACTTTCACCATTCAATAGAATGTTGTATACACACTTAGGTCATCTCACATTGATATGGAAGTACTTAAAAGGATTTGCTTGATGCACTTACAGACAGCTAGGGGAGAATACAACATTTCAGGGCATAGAGAAGGCTGGTCACTTGGTTCATCTGGAGAGGCCCTGTGTCTACAACAGGTGTCTCAAGCAGTTCCTTGCTTCCCTCCATGCAGATAAAAAGAAGAAATAATGCCACTGATCCTGTTATTCCCTTCTCTTCTCTCTGTTGCGGCTCTCTGGAGCGGGGTTGGAACTTGAAAGCTTTGTAATACATTGTATTTGTAATCTCTTGGCATGTCTTTTGGTGAAGACCTCATGATAAATAAATTTCATTAAAGAAGAATTTCATTTTTATATTTTTTTTTCCTCCAGCTTTTCTTGACAATATACGACTAACTCATGTAGAAACTTGACACATACACATGAAACAATACATATTTTAGAAAGCAGATTAGGGTGGATACTAGATAGATGCATATGATAGCAGTTTTTCATCTGAAGGATGACTGAATTTCTTCCAGACTTCTTCCTTTTGTTTCAGGGACCCACAAGCTCACAAAAAAAACAGTGAAAGCAGCCACAATTGCATAGATAGTGAAGGTCCCTGTTTCAGGGAAGGAACCTTGTTACTTTATAAATTAGGAAAAAAATGCCTGCACTACTTCAGGCACACACAAGTTCATGCTTGCATAATGAATGTGCAGACATGTGTGCATGTAAGAGATAGAGAGGTACCTCCACCACTCCAACTCAAAAGCAAGTTTGCAGTCATGGTTATCACAAAAGATGTCAGCCAATTTGCCAAGGTTGCCATGCTGCCGGCGAGACTCTTAATATTCACTGGAAGTATCTGAAGTTTGAGTTTTAAGAAACATAAGCACCAAATACTAACATTCTTTCTTTTCTTTTTTGAAAGGCCAAAAAGAAACCAAATACTAATAGTAACTTTGACTAGAAATAGAATTAACAGTCAATGCATGCCTACAACAGTAAAAGAGGATTTGAGGGTTTACTACAAAAATTATTAATATCATTATTTATTTATTTATTATTATTTTTGGTTGAGGGGCTTCTTACACTAATTTCCTGACACAACTTATTCCCGACCATCATCAGTTCACACCATTCACTAAGGACAAGGAGTTCATTAAATTGAAGCTTATGCCCCACAACTAAGAGAATCACATTCACACTGCAATGAAGTGGCCAAATACCTCAGACATTATAAGCCATGGAATAGCTCCAAGTCCAACTGAGTAAGATATCACCAAGGCCTGGATAAAATGAAAGGTCGGTTAAAAATGGATTCATATCTCCTCAATTAAAATTGAGTACAGAGAAAACATTATTTGGTCATACACAAAGGAGATCTTACCACAACTCCCACAAGAGAAAGTATTGCCATTATGCTATACAAACGAGAATCTTCTGATACAATTCCCTGGTAGAAGTGATGAAACAGAAAAGCAAGAAGAAGAATCAAGAAACAGGATTTTCCAAGTTCTCAAAGTTAACTATCTAAGAGATTTTAGATACAGAAGATTAATGAAGAATTGATCAGTCTAATATTACCAACCTCCACATAAAATGCAACCGCAACAAGGAACAGGCTGACAGTCATTCCAGATGAGGATATCTGAAAAACCATTTCAGAGCATATATGATATATCTTAGTAAAATTGTTTATTCCCTTCAGCTAAATGTAGTTTATTGATGAAAATATTAAGAATATGCTAAAACGCACTATGAGAAGAAGCCTGCGACCAGCTTTATCCAGCAGCCATGTAGTCACACCTGTTGCAACAACCTACTCGAAACACAAACTTTAATTAGACAAATCAGATCAAAGTTCCTTTTGCAATGATACTAGCTAAACACCAGCAGCAGAACTATGATATATTTTACCTGAATTGCCCCAAGTCCAAATGTAGCGATATTGCTAGATGAAATACCTGCTCAAATTTTTAACAAGTAAAATGGTTTATCAAAGCTAAATATTTGAAGCACATAAAATTCAAACTGCTAACACTCTCAAAAGATGAAACTAATTGACTACCATCATTAACACATAATGGCTTCTGATTAAAATGAGAACACTTGATAATGAAGAAAAATGTAAATGACCTCATGTCTCAAAAAATTTAAGTGACCTCATGTCCCTAGTTCGTAAACTAGTACAACACAGATACATATAAAGGGAAAGCTCAAAAGAAACTATAACAAACTAGAAATATGGTCCTTCCCTGTTTTGTTGAAAAAAAAAAAAATTACACAACAGATCTTAGCACATGACAGATATGAGATGGCACGTTTCTCTTGCATATATTTCACACTTAATTCAAAGCTTATAATGGATGGTTCACATTTTAAAGCCCCTACCAATCAAAAACTTCAAAGAATGGTAAAATAACATTTAATCAAAGAAATGTCAGTCTAACCAGCACTTTCAAAGATATTGGTGGAGTAGAATAAAACACCATTGATACCACTGAGTTGCTGGAGCAGAAGTAACCCAACCCCTATCTGCCACATAACCAATTATTAGGAATCAATGTCTTAAGGGAAAAAGGAAAGAAATTAAACATGAAGTAGCAATTTTCAACAAAACTACCAGCAAAGGGTACCAATATCTTTTTCGCTTGAGATCTGAAAACCGGATTGTCATTCTTTTGCTTGCTGATGCTACAGCTCTCTGCAGAAAAATATTAAATATTATTTCAAGGATAAACTCAGAAGATGCCCATGCACCACATCTTATGCTGGTGAATTGACATTTCCATATGATAACATGGTTTTGCAAGCTCAGTGCAAATGGCATTAGCTCTTACTCAACCATTAAAGATAAAATTGTTAGTTTTCAGTCAGATACCTTGATTTCATTAACTTCAACAGAAATATCTGTATCAAAGCCACGTAAAACTTGCAAAGAGGTTTCAAAATCTTCCATCATTCCCATTTTTGCCTAGATGCAAATAACACATGCAATGACAACTGAGAAATAATATACAGAAGAGGAAAATGAAGAATAAAAATGTCGGTAAAGGTGAGAGGACAAAAAAGATCCAAAATATTGTATCCAGGCATAGTACAGATATCACACCAGCCATCGAGGAGATTCTGGTATGAAAAATAGGCCGGGTATCAATATTGCACATGGTAAGATTCCTACAAAAAGAGGCAGAGTAGTATGTCAAGGAAGTTATTTGATTAAAATAATTAATATAAATTAATTTCACTTCTGCTGAACTGAACTAAAGCAATGCTATTATAGGTAGTATCTAATTCTACTCAAAGCACCTACTTTATTAAGAAAAATAATCTTAATGAATGTTATGTACACACACATTTCCTAAATTTCAAAATTCCTCAAATTATCACTAGTTAATAGGATTAGAATACCTGTTATGAGATAACATCCAAAATTTCCTCTTTGCAGAAGAATGACCAGGTAAATAAATTACAATCCACTTACCTAAACCTGCAAGTACTCGCCAACTTGTAAACATTCCCAACAGATAAGCCAGCATTATCCCAGTAGTAATTGCTAACTAACCAAATCAGAAGTGCACTTAATTAGTTGACAAGCAAATTTTAATATTGATAACTTGCAACAAATTAAAATATTTGGAAGCATAAATCTGTACCTGGTTCACAGATCCAAGACGTCCTCTCATGTTTTGTGCTGATATTTCAGCTATATACACAGGCGCCTAGACATGATTAACATGATCAAGCTATTGGTACTTTTTACATTGCTTCAGACAATCCAAGGAAAAAAAAAAAAAAAACAGAAGTCTCTAAATTACCGTATAAGAGATTATACCAACACCAAACCCTTCCAACAACCTTCCCATATATAAAAATGATGCATCCTACAAAAGCCACAGTGTAATGAATTGCTATAAGACCTTGCATGGGACACACAGCATAGCAGTAAGAAGTAGGAAATAATGAAAGATCACTCACTTTAGCAAATGTTATGGTAAGCCATCCTATTATATTGGGAATTGAAGCAATCATCAGAGACTGCAAATTCAATATAATTATAAAGCATCTCAAGAATGAGTCTTGAACAAATTGCAAAAAAGAAGCAATACAAGGAAAATGAATATAAGCAACTCAACAAAGCCAAAATAGTAATTGAATTTCTCATGTATACAGGAAGATTAAGAAATTCAATTTGCAATCCCTCTGAGGTTGATATTTCTCAGTAAGCAAACAGCAACTAGAGAGAAAACTAAGAACTGAAAAGAAAACTGAATCATTACCCCTTTTCGGCCAATGTATTCTGCAATCTGACCGCTGGCTATTGCCCCAAGCATAGCGCCAACATTGGCCAAAGCACCAAAGATAGAGAACTGTTCTCAGGAAAACAGAGTAAATCAGAAGAAATACATAATAAAATCAATGTTTTCAAAGATCAGAAACTCAGAAGCCAAACCTCCGAAGTTGTTAGATTAAGATCGCTAGTGATTCCACTTTGCGTAGGAGAAGAGTATCCACACTGCATTTTCACATCAATGAGAAAAGGTAGAAACAAATGATCAAAGGACCAAGGAAGAAGAATGCGACAGATGCAGATTCATACGGTGAAACCGGTTTGGATAGATCCCAAACAAACGATGAGGACGCAGACAACAACGGACACGGTGCCATCTCGAAAGGCCTGGGAGGAGCTGGACTGCCTCGAGCTCATCCTGTACCAACTCCCCGTGTGCAAAAACGGCTTCTTGAGATCCCCCCTCCCATCGTCACTCGCTTCCTCCCGGAAACTCATCGTCTACCTACCCTCCACAATAAAACAACCGGCGGCAGCAAACTTGAAGCTTCGTGCCTCTCTTTCTAACTCGTTTCACAGGAGTTCGACGAAATGATTGAGAGAAAGAAAACGATGGTGAGATGGCCGTTAAAGATGACTGGGGGAGGCAGCTTTGAGAATGATGACAATGGTCTCCACTCCATGATTTGTGATGGCTAAAGCAAAAGGACACGTGTTTCATTCAGCAAGGTCACTGCTCTTTTAATTCACTAGTATCTTTTTGGATAACCGTGTGGAGTTCCCGTCGGGGTCCTTACCTGGACAGCTGTACTCTTTGTTGTTTATGGCAGCACAAACAGGGACATATATCCTACAAAATGGCCCTTCTTACCAGTAACTATATTCATAAACATAGGACACAAGGCTTTATTGCAAGAAAGAAGGAGGTTTTAATGGTAAAAAATAAAACTTGAAAGTTGAAATTGTTAAAAGACACTATCTTGGGGTCTTATTGGAAGAAAGAAGTAAAACCCATCATTTTTTACTCTCTGCTTTTTGCTTTACAATCTCTTTACCAAACCCTAGCAATCATGATCCCTCCTCCGCAAACCCCTACTGCCGCCGCTGGTATATCCAAAAGCCCTTCCATGTCCTCCAAGATCCCATTTCGAGCCCGTAAAATCAGAAGACTTTCGTCCAGCTCCGATACTTCAATTAAGATCGGTAAATCGCCAGAATCCCCGAATGCAGAGTCATCAATTTCTCCCAAAATTAGAAAGTCGTTATCTTGCAAAACCGAAATTGACCTTGCTCTTGAGCATCTCCGCAACTCAGATCCCCTTCTCGCTGCCCTCATCTCCGCCCATCGCCCGCCGGAGCTCACTCCCTGCATCTCACCGTTTCAATCCCTGTCAAGATCCATTCTTTACCAGCAACTCGCCACCAAAGCCGCCAAATCGATCTACACCCGCTTTATCTCCCTCTGCGGAGAAGAATCCAGTGTCCTCCCAGAAACCGTCCTCTCTCTCACCCCACAAAAACTCCGTGAAATCGGGGTCTCAGCTCGAAAGGCGAGTTACCTCCACGACCTCGCAGACAAATACGCTACTGGGATTTTGTCCGATTCCTCGATTCTCGAAATGGACGATGATACTCTGATTACAATGTTGACTGCAGTGAAAGGGATCGGAATGTGGTCGGTGCACATGTTCATGATGTTTTCGCTTCACCGGCCGGATGTATTGCCGGTGGGGGATCTTGGAGTGAGGAAAGGCGTCCAGTCTCTTTACGGGTTAAAGCAGTTACCGAAGCCCCAACAGATGGAAGAAATTTGTGAGAAATGGAAACCTTACAGGTCTGTTGGGTCTTGGTATATGTGGAGATTAATGGAAGCCAAAGCCACCGGAGCGACGGGTCCTTCCGCAGCAACGACAAGGGTAGAACCCTAGAAGTAGCTCAAAATGGAGCATTTTAATCCTGTTGGAGTACATGGAAGTTCTTGACCCAGAATCAATCAAAACTTGAAATCAGTCTCTTCTTCAGGGTGTGATTGGGTAAAGGTGAACTTCCCGGAAATGTGTTTTGTGGGAAACCGATTAGGAATGCCATCTTTTTTCTTTTTCTTTTTCTTTTTTTTTTTTTAAGAAAAAAAAATGTTATTAAATTTTATAATAAAATTTAGTTAAAATTTTATTAATAAGTGAAGTTTGTTATATTTGATTCTTTCCTTCTTAAAATAATTATGAGATGATTATAGTAATTTTATTTTAAATTTATTTTAAATTAATATTATTTTTTATTTTAAAGATAGTTTTGTTTTATTTTTATTTTTATTATAATTAATTATTTTATTATAAAATTTTTATTTTTTTAAATTTTTAAAAAATAATATAAATAAATATTTTAAAAACTTTTAAAATAACTATTATTTAGAGATAAAAAATAAAATTTTGACATAAGAAAAATTATTAAATTAGTTATTATGTGAAACTTTTTTTAAAAAAATTTAAAAAGAAAAAATTTTAATTAGAAAAAAAATTTGTATCATCAAATTTTAATTAGAAATTATTTCAATAAAAATAAAAAATAATTTTTTTATTTTTTATTTATAATTTTGATATTTATAAATATTAACATATTTTTACAAATTTTTAAATGATTTATCTAACTTGAAAAAATACAAATTAAATATCTATTTTTATTATAAATTTATATTTAAAAATAAAAATTAAACTTTAATTTATTAACTGTTTAATTATATTTACTTGACATTAAAATTAATATTAATTTTTTTTATTTTTTATATATATTTATAATAAAAATATGTAATAAATATATTTTTATCTTGTGTCTTAATAATACAAAATAGAAAATTTCAATTTTAAAATATGATGTTACATAAAAATTTACAATAAAGTAAAAATTAATTTATTAATTATATGATTGAATTGTTTAGCTTATGGATAGCTTTCACCTTGAATGGTTTATTTTTTGAACAATCTTCCAACCAAACTTATAAAATTAAGGGGGGGATGGGGAAGGGAATCCTTGAGGAATCAAACTTTCAATTCAAAGTGACTTTTTCACTAATGACCAAGTGGCAAATCACTTGGTTCAGGCGTGAGGAACCCACCTTGAATGATTTATTGATTACTTTCACATGGGATAAATGAATTGAATTGCTGGTTTTGTTGATTTGCCTTGGCCCTTAATTTGTTGATTACTTTCACTTAAAATAATTGAATTGAATTGAATTTATTGGTTTAGTGACGAGTTTTGCCTTCACCTTGAATAATTAAATTGATTGGTTTACTGTCTTGCAGACTTGGAGTGGTTTATTCATTGCTTTTGTCTTAATATTAAATTGATTGATTTGTTGCTTTCACCTAACTTTCGTTTTGAATGGCGTGTTAATTGCATTCGTTTTGATTAAACTAATTGATTTGTTGATTTTGCATTTGTCTTAAATGACTCGATGATTGCTTTGCACCAAACTTTATACGCTATTTGGTATAGGCTGTCCGTAAAAGGTGTGCAGTGCTTCTCATTTTATGAGTTTGGTTCAAACTCTTTTTTCCTTTTAAAAATTGTACTTATTATTAAAAAAAAAAAAGTTGATGGTTGCTTGTAAAAAACAAATATACGAAGACCACAACTTAAAGGGAAAAAAAAAAAATAAAGACTACGTCTTAAAAGGCTGCAATTCAGATAAAAATTACATCTCCAAAAAAAGTAAAGATAAATAGGGCGTCTCAAAAAAGAAGTATAGAGACCACATCTCAATCAAGAAAGATGAAGATCCCATCTCAAGAATAAGTTAAAAAAAAAAAAAAAAAACCACATTTTAAAATGTTATATCCCAAATGAAAACCATATATTGAGGAAAATAAAGGTTTCACCTTTAAATAGTTCATTGATTGCGTAAAATTATTTTTTGAATATAACATTCAGTTCAAAGGTGAAAATTCCCAGAAAAGTTTACCAATCACACCCTCAATTTCCACATGCAGGATTTGGTTTTGCCCTTTTTCTTGTTTCATTTTTAATAATTTTGTATCAATAAAAAGTGAAAACAAGACTGACTTAAAATTACAATAAACAAAAGAAGCAAAAAACAACCACTGTCCAATCCAACAACACTGTTCAGAATTCGGACAGTCTGCAAGATCCCAACTCGAAGCCCATTTGGTGGTGGCTGTGGTTGATCTGAAACGTATCCTGGGCTTGGGAGTCTAGCATTCGATACCCTGATGGGCCTGGTCATGTGACCCAACAGAATTTGGTGACCTAAACCTGGTCAAACGTGTCATTACCTACCCAAGCCCAAGATTCCAATTCCAATTCCAATGCAACAAACAAATTGGCGTCCTTCCATTATTAATTAATTACCTTTTACACCACCACCACGTACAAACCTGAAAAAATGGACCACTCTCTCATCCCTAACCTCTTTTCCCACACGTACATTTTTATTTTATTTGGTCGGTCAATCCAATTAGTTTACCGAATCAATATTAACAAGCGGGTCTATTCTCCCCTCATTAAATAATGAATTGATCCTCCTTTATTAATATATATATATATATTTTATTTTTATTACATAAAAAAAATAATTATCTCTCATATTTTAATTTATCATATTCACATGTTATATGACTTGATTTAATAAAAAAAAAGTAATGATGGAGGTGACGAAAATGAGAAACAAAATGAGGGATGACAGGTGATGTAAGGGGATCAAATTAATAATTACACCATATGTATGAATCTTGCATAACCTGTCGTCTCTCATTTCGTCCCCTCTATCATTACTTATAAAAAAAATAATCATTAAATCATTTAAATAATTGACAATATATATTTTTTATATTAAATAATAAATAATAATTTTTTAAAATCTTTCCCTCTCATTTTAAGTTTATATGAGCATTCATGTCCTTAATTATTAAAACGTCTTATATAAGATTTTCGTCAACATTATTTTTCTTAAGATGGTAAGTTTACCATCCTCAAACACTGTCCTGAACATATCTCATGCCAATTTTCTTTGATCATACGACCCTAAACTTAACTCAAGTCGTTATCTAAAGTACTCTTATCTGAATAATCAATGATGCATCGATTATAAAGGGTTTGGATCAAACACGAGTAGTTAGAAGTTAGGAGGGCACGCGAGGTCGATATTTGTCCTCGATGGGAAGGATCTAGGAGATGACATACACGATAATGTGACATTAAAGTAAATATATGCTCGACTTGACAGGACAGTGTTGGATTTCAAATAATACTCGATTATTTGAAAAATTGAGACGGATGGACGGAAGGAGGGATGGATTTAAAACATTTTGTTATCGATGTTGGAATCCATTAATTTGAACATGCATAATGGGAGGTCCACTCCACTTAAGCTTAGCCGCGTGCAGTTTTTGATGTGATTGAGGAGCCCATAATCCTGACTAGATATGTTTGTCTTCTTTATGGTTTCCTAAAGTCCCACCCCTCCGTTTCAAATAATTGAAAATATATATATGTTTTGATTATATAATAGAAGATAATAATATCTTATTTTTTATGTTTAATAAAGAATATTGCTATGACAATCAAATTATGATTAATGATATATAGATAATTTATTTATATAAGTTTTATATATTATTAAATAAATAAATAAATAAAAATTAGTGTGTATCCATGTTGATTTTAAAAAAATTAGATTCACAACCTATATTTAAAAATTAAAATTTTAATTTATTTTAAAAATAAAAACTGGTATACTTTTTTTTTTCAAATAAATATATATATAACATTATAAATTTTAATAAAAAGGAAGAAATCAATCATAATCAATATATAAAATTATATAATAAAAAATTATTTTTAAATAATTTTATGTTAAAATCACATCATTCATGAATATTCTTATCAACTTGTCTCTTGTCTTTAGCATTGATCTCCCAATCTATTTTTCTTTTTGATTGATTTGTTACATTTGCAAGTGTCTCTTTTATCAATATAATATGTTCAATTACTAGTGTCCAAATCTGATTGATTTGTTTAACAATATTCTAAGTATTTACCATATTAGTGCAATCTGAAAGACAACTCCTTACTGACAATATATATTTGAATTATGCAAAAATTAATTTATGTAAATTTAAAATTTTATGTCAATAATATAAATAATTTAATAATTTTTTTATTAAAAATAAAAAATATTAATTTCAAATTATATAACATACGAGTGAAATGAAATAAAAAATAAAAAATAATTATACCTTATTATGCAATTAAAATAAAAAATTTTTTTTTACAGCATTCTCTTATAAATAAATTTTAGGAGATGGTTTCATGAATGAGTCAATTTGAAACTTTCGCAGCAGTGATTTCGCTAACAATATATTAAAGTGATTCAAACGGGTCATTAATTGTTTGTGTCCAATCCGTTTATTAACGTAAGGTGTTAATTGGTCAATGCAGAGGATGGTCCAGACACCTGATGTCAGAAATTGGGAATTTATTGTCTCACTCCCACCGTCCCGCAAGCCGCTGTACTTGTTTCGATTGTAGTAGGGCTCGTTTGGTGTATTAGTTTAATCGTAGTAATAAGTGATTTTGTTTAAATTATTAAAAATAAATATTTAATAAATTTATTTATTTTAAAATTATTATAAATTAAATGTTTAGTAAAATTTTTTATTTAGTGATTTAAAATTAGTAGATAATTGTTAAGATTTAAACTGTTAATGAATTGAAAAAATTATCTAAAGTAATTTTTTGTATCAAACCATTAATGAATTAAATTTTTTAA